CAATAGAAATGATACAAATTGAAAAACACACCTTAACTATTTACGTAGGATTATTAGTAACTACTTACATAGGTATTATTAGGGATCTGGAGGTGATTTAAAGTATGCAGAAGGATGTGTATAGGTTACATGCAAATATTACAATTTATATATAAAGACTTGATCATCCCTGATTTTGGTATCTGCAGAGGTCCTGGAACCAATCTTCTACTGATACCAGGGACCACACACACACAAACACACACATATATATACATATATAAAATAGTGTTCTGTTTCTCTGGAAAGCCTGATATAAGGTTTTAATTAAGGAATCTCAAATATTTATCAAGTTACTGAAAGGAGAGGTCTATATGTCAGCATAAATTTGGTGAAGCTTCCCACTGAACACGAATGGTACCTACTCCATCCATTTGCAGGACTGACTTACAATAATTGAAGATGCAGCCTCCTTAAGATAGAAAGAAAACAAACATTTTCCTGACACTCCACTGGGCCCCTGGCAATAAGGATGAGTATCCTGAAGAAAACCATCTTTGAGGCAAGAGCTTGTGAACCCCTCCCGTCCTATTCCATTCAATCTGAGTATGGATTTATTCTTAATTGTTAGAAACTATGGTGTGTTAGACACTACCATTTCATTTTGATTTTATCTGGAGTGAACCTAAAGTATAATCTCATGGCACCTTCTTGTTCTTATTGTGAAACAAAACTTTGAGCCGGGCATGATGGCTTATGCCTGTAATTCCAGCACTTTGGATGGTCGAGGCGGGCAGATTACTTGAGGTCAGGAGTTCGAGACCAGCCTGGCCAACATGCTGAAACCCCATCTCTACTAAAGACACAAAAACATTAGCTGGGTGCCAGGTGTAGTGGTGCACGCCTGTAATTCCAGCTACTCCGGAGGCTGAGGCAGAAGAATCACTTGAACCTGAGGCGGAGGTTGCAATGAGCCAAAATGCACACCATACTCAGCCCACTTATTAAAGTGAAACTCCATCTCAAACAAAACACAACAAAAACAAAAAAACAAAAAACATAAGTCCCAGACCAGAGTGTGTCTATCCTGGGATCTGAATCTGAGCCAGTTTTCAAATCTCTTTATCCTCAATGCTAATTCTGCTCTTACCTCCATGCACATACACACATGACTCCACACATGCTCCAAGGGTTTCTGCAACACTTATTCTTCTTCTTTTCTTTTTTTTTTTTTTTTTTTTTTTTGAGATAGAGTCTCACTCTGTCACCAGGCCTGGAGTGTAGTGCCTGATCTCAACTCATTGCAAACCTCCACCTCACGGTTCAAGTGATTCTCATTCTCAGCCTCCCAAGCAGCTGGGATTACAGGCGTGAGCCACCGTACTCAGCCTCTGCAGCATTTTCGACTGCATGTCTTCCTCCCTCTTCTCCACTTGCCTCCAGAACTCACAGGGTGAGAGAGCACACACTTCCTACTCCTACTGCTTTTCCTTCCCTAGACATTTCTTCTTATCCAGACCACTGAATCTTCAGGGAATAAGCAACATCATCCTGATACAACCATTCCTCCAGTACCAACTCTCTAACAATATATATAGGCTTGACTTTTCATAAAACACTGCAAAGTAGCTATTATCTTCATGTAAAATGTAGTATTATGACTCAAAAATGTTAAGCAGGCCAGGCGCATTGTCCGGTAATCCCAGCACTTTGGAGACTGAGGCAGGTGGATCACCTGAGATTGGGGGTCCCAGACCAATGACCAACATGGAGAAACCCCATCTTTACTAAAAATACAAAATTAGCCAGGCACATTGGCTCCATGCCTGTAGTCAGCTACTGTGGAGGCTGAGGCAGGAGAATCGCTTGAACCTGGGAGGTGGAGGTTCCGGTGAACCGAGACTTCGCCGTTGTCATCCAGCCTGGGCAACAAGAGCAACTCTGTCTCAAAAAAAAAAAAAAAAAAAAAAAAAAAAAAAAAAAAAAAAGAAAAGAAAAAGTTAAGCAAGATAAACCGCTTGTACATCTTGTATTATAGTAAATGTCTACATAGACACTCAGGTTTGTTTCAGCTCTGCCATTTCTTCAAGCTCAACAGTCACCCTACACTGTCTAATAATATTTCTACATTAGATAGTCATTTTTTCACTGGTGTGCATACCTTCATCCTAGGAAACAGAAAACTTTGTTCTCTTCTTCTGTAGTGGAAGCTTTACCTTGGCCATTATACATCAAGCTGCAGAAAATGAAGTGGAACTTCTTGCTCCAGAAAATCATGCGACATATGAACTAGGTTAATTGGCTCATTGTTGCTCATTAGCAAACAAAATAAAAACATTTGCTTTTATTTCATCCTCGTGTATAAGGCTTAATGACAACAAGCAAGCCTGGCATATTCTGAAGGCTTTGAAAGATAAAATTTTGTACACTTCTCTTCCTACCTCATTTAATTTATCCAGTTTTCCATTTATTCAATATTTATTGAAAATTCTGTGTCAAGTTTTGTGGTCTTTTTGAGTGCACTTGAATCCTTTAAAAGTAAACCAATTAAGATGATTACTTATTTAAGCCTGTAACACTAAGTCACAAAATGAGTCCCCATTTAGTACAGGTCTAGGTTTAAAAGCTGGGCGACTGTGGCATCCTTTCTTCAATACTCAAAGGTCCTTGCATCACTCATTACATGTCTACATGATTTCAAGACAAATCCAGATTCTATCTCCTTTTCTTGCTTGATTAGGTGTCATATCCCTTTCTTCACCAACTACGAGGAGGTAGACACCAGTTCCAAGCTCGTTCTGGTTCTTAGGAACCCCTAGACATGATTCTCTCCAGTTCAAGGACCAAACAGGAGAACCAGTAATGTGATAACCACCATTTAGCTCCATACAGTAATTGTGAAATCACCTCTTTATAAATAAAGCAAACTGTGGCTATGAAAGTTTAGACAACATGTCCTGTCTATGAAAGTTTAGACAACATGTCTGTCAGTGACAAAGCTGGAATACATTTTCAGATTTTTTTTTTTTTTTTTTTTTTTTTTTCTTGAGACGGAGTTTCACTCTTGTTGCCCAGGCTGGAGTATAATGGCGCGATTTTGGCTCACCTCCACCTCCACCTCCCAGGTTCAAGCGATTCTCCTGCCTCAGCCTCCTGGGTGGCTGGGATTAGAGGTGTGCCTGGCTAATTTTGTATTTTTAGTAGACATGGGGTTTCTCCATGTCGGTCAGGCTGGTCTCGAACTCCCAACCTTAGATGATCTACCCACTTCGGCCTCCCAAAATGCTGGGATTACAGGTGTGAGCCACCGCTCCTGGCCTGGTTTTTCAGCTCTTGAAGCCCATAGTTTTGTCAGTTTCTACCTCCCTGCATATCCAAATGAGAAACAATCATTTTATTGCTTTGGATTCAAGAAGCTGGAGGAATATAATGTTCTCTTTTGACTATATATATGCAATCTATGCTCTGAGCCCCACCTCATAGCCAAATACATTTTTGTTGACATTTTCCCTTTCTGCCAGGCACTATCACTTCTGTTATTTGTATCTACTTTGAGACCCATCTGATCATCTCGATTTTATAAGAAATAGGAATCTGAGAATTAGTGACTTTCTGAAATTAGTCAAAAAACATATTGTTTTAAAAACAGGAAAGTCATAAATCAAACAAATCTTATTCTAAAGGTCATGAGCTTTATACCTGAGAGTGACAGTGGGGAGGAATAATGGTTTGGATTATTCACCAATGTGCTTCTGTCCTCTCCTGCCACCTGTCCACATCCTTGGACCATGGCACATGCTCAACCCAGGTAGTTAAGACTGTCTGAGTTTACTGATCCCAGAGCAAATCAAAGAACAACAAATATATTCATGCTCACTTTTTGAGGTTCAAAATAGACTTTTCAAACACAAGAACAGCATGCATAGAGAAAAGGCGTTCTGAGTCATGGTAGCCTAAGTCTTTGAGCTCAGACTCTGACCTGAACAACAGGCAGAGAGGATACCGTCAGAGCCAGACGTTTTCCTTGGCCCATCCAGACTAGAAAAGGATTATTCCTTATGGGTTAGAGAAGAGAGGGCAATGTCAGCAGCAGGGAAGAGCATCTGAAAGTGTCTCTGAGAAGAAGCTCTTGGTCTTTTCTGTCCACCTCATCTTTGCCGGACCAAGCCCTGTGGAGATAGGACAGGAAGGGCCCTCCCCATGCCCCAGGTGGAAGACACTGGTTCATGGTGTCCTACCAAGGGCCCCGAGAGTTCACAAGCCTGCAAAATTCTCTTTCCCCCATGACACTGGAAAGAGGAGATGGTTGCTGTGGTTATAACAGTCTCCAAATATTCCTAGGGCAGGTGGGAAGTGGTCAGATATTTTTCCAGGTATTGTGATAGGACCTTGAGGGCTGGAGAATGTGAAGGGCTTTGAGACATGATGACACAGGCCACAGGTTGCACTTGACCAGTGTCCACATGAGGAGAGGGACTTCTTAGCATTTATGAACTTGGCAGAGGCTGCTCAGTGATCAAGATACTAGATAGGCCCCCTGGAATTTAGAAGCTATTCCAGGTATATGTGTGTGTACAGCATGGAGGGTGAGGGGCAACCTTCAATTAACAGAATTTATTTTATTCTAAATTGGTCTGATTGGCTGGGTGTAATGGCTCAGGCCTGTAATCCCAGCACTTTGGGAGACGGTGGTAGGTGGATCACTTGAGGTTGGGAGTTCAAGATCAGCCTGGCCAACATGGTGAAACCCATCTCTACTAAAAATACAAAAAAAAAAACCCCAAAAACATTACTTGGGCACGGTGGTGGGCACCTGTAATCCCAGCTACTCAGGAGACTGAGGCTGGAGAATCACTTGAACCCAGGAGGTAGAGGTTGCAGTGAACAGAGGTCACACCACCGCACTTCAGCCTGGATGATAGAGCGAGACTCCGTCTCAAAAATAAATAAATAAATAAATTGGCCTGATTAAAATTTTCTCATTTTCTGCTGCCAGGTGGAATGAGCTCTTGAGATAGAAACCAAGTCAATAAAAGCATTTACATTTATTTGCACACTAACCACATCGATTTACTACTTATTCCCAGTTTTCTTATTTACTTATATAAGATCCATTCTTTCATTTTACAAATACAGATTTTCAGAGTAAGAAGAGAGAATAATTCTTCTAAAAATAAAGAAAGGCATTACAATACAATTTGCAAATCTAGGTACCATGTGGAAAGTCTCATCCGTTCTCAACGTTCCCGTATCATTAACTGCTCATTTTCACACTGGTGACATCCAAGTCCTTATTGTCAGCATCCTCTTTCTTCCACATCTCCACTGGAGCATTTCCAACCTCCTGCCACCAAACTCAACACATTCAGGGAGAAGAGGGCTGGTCTGGGACCACAGAAATCCTTGTTCTAATAATCTTGGAGGCAGTGCTCAGTAGGAACTTAATGAATTCTTAAGTGAATTTGTTTTTTAAGAAAATCAACAGGTAATGTATCCCCGGGCAATTTTATCTGATTTTTGAAATTCAGATTGGTTTTCTACTACTTGGCCAAGAGAATGGGGTACAGTCACTCCTCTGGGGGGTTCTGCATGAGGAAGTATCCATGATACTTGCTGTTAAGCAGTGATCAGGTAGAGAAGGAAAGTCTTGGCCACATCAACTCTCCTTTGTGAAGTCAACAGTTCTCGACAAGGAGATTATGGTGCTCTGTAGAGCAGGAACATGAATAGGGCTGAGATCCTTCCTGGATGATCCCAGGCAGAACCCTGATCCTCATTCTCCAGGCCCACCTGCCCTCCATGGGGGCTCTGCATTGCTGGGGAGAGGGCAGTCTCCTAACCACGTGGGTGAAGGATTGACTCCAAGGTCTTATCCCTGACACTCTTAAGGAAGCTCATAACTGCAGTTCCACCTGTGCCCCTGTCTTCTAAAGCCTGAGGCGGCCCTGGGAGATGGTTTGGCTTCCCACGCTTTGCCTTGGCTGCAGCTGTGATGAGGTATCTGGTGACCATGGTGATGTGATAGCTCCGCAGGTCTACCAGGGCCTGCACACACTGGTTATAGGCTGTCAGCAAGTGGTCCTGTCCAGAGGACAGGACGTAGTCCCTCAGGGAAGGTGCCGAGTGGATGTCTTCTATGAAGGCCTTATGGGAAGGAGGCATGTAATCCCTCATTCTGTACAGAAAGTCAACTGAAAGAAACAATACAACATAATGTCATAGCTCCACATGGAAATATAGCAGAGCTCATCTGCTGCTGCTTCTTTTTTTTTTTTTTTCTCGAGACAGGGTCTTGCTCTGTCACCCAGGCTAGAGTGCAGTGGTGTGATCTCAGCTTACTGCCACCTCTGCCCCTGTGTTCAAGTGATCCTCCCACCTCAGTCTTCTGAGTAGCTGAAACTACAGGTGTGCACCACCACACCCGGTTAATATTTTTTGTATTTATTTTAGTAAAGACGGGCCCTTGCTATGTTGCCCAGGCTTGTCTTGAGTTCCTGGGTGCAAGCGATCCCCCCACCTCAGACTTCCAAAGTGTTGGGATTACAGGTGTGAGCCACGGTGGTGCCCAATCTTGTCTGCTTTTTCAGACAGGAATGCACCAGAAACTGTTGCTGCTGTTCTAATTCAAATCTACCTTGGCCCTTTTGTTTGCAGACTTCACATACTCAAATTCATATTTCTAACTGTTGACAGGAGATGGAGAAGAGGAAACAAAGTAAGCACATCTCAGATGACAGAGTTGGCACTAGATTTATTTGCCAATGTATAAATATTTACTAGATAACAAATGTAAACGAAGTATCCAGTTGGTAGCTGCTATGAGGAGTATCTTCAAACATAGGACACAAACCCTTGAACTGACTAGCTGAATACTCTCGTGAATATTGTTTCCTCAGTGCTTTGTTTTGGAGGGAGCACAAGAAAAGGAGAAAGTTATACAGAGCCTGTGAAGGCAAAAAAGATAATGAGTCACTGTTTTAGTAATAGCCTCTTGAAGCCAAATGGTTTAAAACTCAAATCAACAGATATTTATAGGAAATTCATTATGGGTTTAATAGTACGCATGGTAAGTAAATCAACCACTGACATCACCAAATGCCAAAATCAACCACTGACATCACCAAATGCCAAAATCCATGAAAAATTATCACAGTTCTAAAGAACCAACTTGAATCTATGACACTAAGTTCTGGTGATTCTTTTTCTTCTAATCCAACTTGAAAACTCCATAGTATGAAGTGTCTTGTTTGCAACTGTTAAAAACTGAACTTGATCCTGGTAGGTAAGAAAATGAGCAATTTCAAACTTCCAGGGTGATAGATCCCTCTGCTAGTATAAGTAGATTTGGCTAGAGGTTGCACCATTTTGTGGGGAAGGACTTTCTCCGAAGACCCCAGACCTATTTCCAGCTGGCCCAGGCTCATAGCCTTCAAACTCTACATCTCTCCCCCATTTCAGAAAAAGGAAGCTAGTTTCTAAAGACCCAAACCAAAGTGATAGTGAACAGTTGGAAACAGAGCAACATTTTAAGATTTGGAAGTAAAACCCAAGATCAAGCTGAGATCTGATATTCCAATATTAATTGACTTGACACAAAAACATTGGCAGTCATGTGGTTTCTTGGCTGACTTAGAGAAGTATAAACTTCATGACATTTTAATTTATATTTGGTTTTATCAATTGGTTAAAAAAAAAAAAAAAAAAACCCCTCTTCTCTTCCCCCATCTCCTCTTAAGGGAAAACAAAATGTCTGACTTACCACTTTCCTTGCTATGACGAATGCCTAAGAACTCATCAAAGGCATGAAGCACTGTGCTCTGAGCTGCACTCCCGCCCGAGTATTTCAGGGGCTCTTTGAAAACTCCTTCATACATCAGCCCTGCAGGCATTGCTGGGTTATCTTTCCATCTAAGCAAGAGTAAAAGTGAGAGAGAAGAAAAGGGTGCAGGGAGGTAATGGTACATTTTCTGACATGGAAACTGACAGTGAAGGAGAAAGGGAAAATGATTTCAACGGTAATTTTAGGGTGAGGGATTGGGGGTATCTTTGTAGGATAAGTACTAAAGCATCATCTTCACTCCAGCTTCATAACAAGCTATAAATTCATAGCCCTTTTCTTCCTCATCTAAAGGGTTATTCCAGTGAGGTAAAGGCTATTTAGAGAGGAATTTGTAACACTGGTCCCATGACATATTTATTGCAAATACTCGGTTATAAAGATGTCCTCAGTGCTGCTCAACAGGAACATTTCAGGGGCTCTGGAAAAATCTTCACTTTCTTTGCTAATCTCAACCTTGATGATCAGATACTTATAACTCCGCCAAGTAAAAAGCCTCACAAATATACACAAAAACCCACAATTGCATACACGGATACACACAAAGGAAAACACACACACACACACACACACAACTTTGCCCTTCCCTGAAACAGTGATAATTGTTAACAAGTCACCACATTAAACTATCAATGCTGGATATTACCTAACTTTGTAATCTGTAATGTACAGATGTTACCTGACTTTGAGGATGCCTTTATCAAATACTTTGTTGACCACAGGTATTGATAATAAGGATGGATGAGAAGAGTAACAGCAGGAAGCGCAGAGCAAGCCTGTGCCTCACCAGAGGCTGAAGTCAGGGACATGCAGAAAGGCTGGGACTGGGCTGCAGCCCATGCTCCACGAAGCAGCTGTTCTCTCCTCCCTTCCCTTCCCTCTCTTCTCCTCCCCACCTTTCCTCTCCTTTGTCTCTCTGATTCCTGTTCTTCACTGTTTTCTCGGAGTTCCCCCTCTTTATGCCTCCATCTGTTTTACTCATTTTCCTGTGTCTGACTTTGCATAGTCTTGAACAATCACAGAGTGTGTGGGCATGACTTTATAATGAGTCCAAAACAAGAACAAGCTCATGTCACATTTGCACCTACCATGCTGTATAGTTTATAAAGCATCTTTGCATTCATTTTCTCATTTGACTTCTTGTGTGTAGATCAGGACAGGTTTTTGGGGTTTTTTTTTTAATACTTCATTTCATAGATAACTAACAAAGACTTAAAGCAATTAAGGTTCCAGGGTCATACTGTTAAAGGATGATAGAAACAGAACTTGATCCCCAAACTTGCAATTTTCTATCTTCATTTCTACAAGAACCTCATATGTGGATTTCCATTTTTACTGAAGAATATCGTCTTTTCCTCCGATAGCCAGAAACAGGTTACTTTCTTTGTTATGAGTTTAAATAACAGATTTACATTGATGTGGCACCATTTTTCTATAATTCTGAAAGTCATTTTGCTCAAGAGAAGGGACACACGCACACACCATATACACATACAAAAGCCACAGACAGACTGCCATGTTTACTGTTCATGATATTTTTCAAATACTGCTCTGAGGCTGGAAGTGCTGTAGGGAGCCGGGTTGTTGTCACTGGGGGCTCTTTGGGTTGGCTGTGCTACGGCTTTCACTGGGTAAATAGCACGGTGGCCTTTGTAACTCGGGCACCATCAGTCTGAAAAGAGATGTGGTACAGAAAGAGTGCAGGGGAATGGTGGGAAGAGGAAAGGAGAGGTTACTACTGCCAGGTCCTGACAGGCTGCAGCTATTAGGAGTAAGGCCTCTCTACCTCTATCAGATAAGGAATTTAATTTTAGCTTTGCTATTTATTAATAGTGAGCCTTGGCTTAGTTAATTAACCTCCTCTGAGCCTCAGCTTTCTCATCTGAGAAAATTAGTATCTACCTTATTGGATTATTGTGAGAACTAATTAAAATAATACCTGCCCAGGGCCTGGAACATGTTAAGCATTCAATGAATACTAGCCATTTTATCATAATTTTTAGAGTGAATGGGAATCCTGGCTCCCTTTTCATTACTGTTTAACTTTGTACAAATCTTTCTGAGCCTTTGTTTTCCCAATTTATATTTGCTTCCTACAGCTGTTGAAAAACAAAATAGGCTCCAGAGAGGTTTTGTGACTTGTCCGTTAAGACCCTGGTCCAATAAAGTTGATGAACATTTTATGGGGAAGAAATATGAAAGGCATAACTGCTGTTGGGTGATATATGGGCACACTTGTTCGGGTTTTTCTTTGTAATCCGGTTGATGGTCTTATGTAGTTATTCAGGGCTCTTTCACTAGCTCCTTCCCATCTTGAGTACTGCTAAATGTTGGACTCTCAAAGGGTCAGTCCATGGACTGCTCACTACTCTCAATTTCCAAATGGTTTTATCTAGCCTCATAGATTTAGAAAACAACTATATCCCAGCTGGATGGGGTGGCTTACGCCTGTAATCCCAGCACTTTGGGAGACCCAGGTGGGGAGATCACTGGAGATCAGGAGTTTGACACCAGACTGGTCAACATGGTGAAGCCCCATTTCCATTAAAAATATAAAAATTAGCCTGGCATGGTGGTGCACACCTGTAGTCCCAGCTACTCGGGAGGCTGAAGCAGGAGAATCGCTCGAACCCAGAGGCAGAGGTTGCAGTGAGCCAAGATTGTGCCACTGCACTCCAGCCTGGGTGACAGAGCGAGACTCTGTCTTAAAAAAAAGAAAAAACAAAGCCTATATCCTGACTATTTAGAAATGTAAAAAGCTATTTACACCTATAGCTGGACCTCTCCCCTATATTCCGGACCCATATATCCAACTGCCTACTTTATATGAAAGTATCCCTAAACTGATCTCCTGATTTCCTTTCTTCTTTGCTAAACCTGTTTCTCCTATAGTCTTCCTCATTGGAGTAAATGATGTCTCTGTTCTTTCAGTGAACCAAGCCCCCAAAACCTGCAAATTATCTTTGACTCACATCTTTCCATTAACTTTGATTTCAGTACATATCCACAATCTGATCATTTCTCAACATTTTTAGCCCTTGTACCCTAGTACAAGCCACCACCCTGGATTGTAGTGATAGCTTCTTAAATATTTTCCTTATTTCCATCTTAATTCTTGGAGTCTGTTTCCTACTCAGTCAATACAGAGATGATTTGCAACTGAAGGCAGATCACGTTGTTATTCTTTTCAAAATGTGTCAATGTTGTCCATCTTACTCAGAAGAGAAGCTGACAAAGCTCTACATGATCTGGTCTCTACTGTCACCTCACTCTTTCTCATTCTCCCCTGAGTTTTGCAGTCCTGTTGGCTTCCTGCAGCTCTTCCACCATGACCAACAGGATCCCACCTCAGGGACATTGCACTTGCCATTCCTTCTTGCGACTCACTCCCTCACTTCCTCCAGGTATCTGCTCAAATGTCATAGAGGGTTGTGGCACTCTTGGACCACAATAAATAAGAAAATTTGGCCACTATATTCAACAGTCCCTAATACACTCTATCCTGCTTTCCATCTCTTCATTGTGCTTATCGTTGTAATGTATATTGTATGATGCTTTTATTAGATTTACTTGTGTATTAATTGTCCATCCCTCACCATGGAAATGTAAGCTCCAGAGGGGCCAAGTTGAGGGTTGGTTTTACTGCTCTATTCCCAGCACCTAGAACTGACATGGGGTAGGCACTCACTAAATATGTGATAAATGAATGATTTAAAAATAGCATCCTATAAGTATGTATTATATAGCTAGAATATGTAGACCCAAGCATAGTTCTTGAAAGAACGTGGCCAGCTTAAAAGAGCCATCCAGTGTCTCAATTGGTCAAGGGACATTAATCAATCTGTTTTCAGTGCCTCGCCCTGAAGAGATGTCACATTGAAGGTGACAGAGCAAATATCAGCATGAAAGTCCAAAAAGATAAAAGAAGCACATCTACTTTCAAAACTCATGTTCTCTAGCTTGCAATTCTAGTCTGAGGAAAGGAAAGGGTGTTTCTTTGAGCAGTCCAAATATTGCTCCCATACATTCTCAGGTACAAGCTGCTACTGTGAAAAAAGAGGAACTATTTTCCTTTCAAATATCTGTAGGCATGATTATTTTTAACCTTTCTTGTAGCAACCCCAAGAAAACGGGAAGTTTGGTAGGAAAAAAATGAGATGGTTTTTTTGCAAGGGCTAATAACTTCCTCAAGAAATTTAATGTGAGTGGAAACTAAAACTAAAAAGAATGAATATGTGTCATCTACACATGAAATATCTCCATTCTCCTAAATAAAAATGTTTTTTAAAAAGCAAGCAAAAAGGCCGGGTCTGGTGGCTCATGCCTATAATCCCAGCACTTTGGGAGGCCAAGGTGGGCAGATCACCTGAGGTCAGGAGTTTGAGACTAGCCTAGCCCACATGGTGAGACCCGTCTCTACAAAAATTACAGCCGGGCTGGTGGCGGGTGTCTGTAATCCCAGCTACTCGGGAGGCTGAGGCAGGAGAATCACTTGAACCCGGGAGGCGGAGTTGTGGTGAGCTGAGATCGTGCCACTGCACGACTCTGTCTTAAAAAAAAAAAAAAAAAAAAAGTGCCAATACGGAGATGGAAGAAACCACATGACAAGGAATACTGGATGCCTCAAGAAGCTGAGAGCAGCTCCTGTCTGACAGCCAGCAAAGAAACAGATCTCAGTTCTGGAACCACAAAACACTGAATTCTGAAAACAACCTAAATGAGTTTTGAAGGGAATTCTTCCCCAGATCTTCAGTTAAGAGCCCAGCCCAACAGATAAATTGACTTCGGCCTTTTGAGACCCTAAATGGAAAAGTCAGTTGAGCTTGCCTGTGATTCTGACTTACAGAATTGTGGAACGATGAAGGCATATTGTTTTAAGCTACTAACTTTGTGGTAAATTGTTGTGTAACAAGGAAAAACATATAGATTTAGAGAGCAATGTGAAGCACAAAGGGATTTTCCAGAATTAGGTGCTTCCTAAGTGCCAGTCTGTTTCTGCATCTATAGTATAAGGCCACTATGTGGTAGCAGGAAATTTTTTAAAATGGTCCATTTTTCTTTTTCTAATCCTTCAAAGGTATACAGAGAAAGTCTAAATACTAAGTACACTCTCAGCTCCATTTCTGCACCCTTCTTTTTGTTTTCCCTTTTCCCCATAAACCATGCACCCATTACTCTCAATCTTGGAAATCTTTTTGCTTCCACTCTGTACCCTCTACAAGGAGGATTCCACCCCCACTCTCTCTCAGACTGGACTCTGTTTGAAGTGCTTCACACGTCAAACCCATCCAATCTGGAGAAAATACTCAGTATGTGTTGCTACTCTGTCCTTTCACCAATGTAATACAGTAGATTTTTAGCATTTGCATGTCTCTTGCTGTATCCAGACACAGCTTCAGATTATTTCCATTGATAGCATTTCAGGTATCTCCTAGTTAATAAGATGGCCCACTAGATGATATCTATTTGACATATTCACCTCATCTAGCGATTGCCTCCACCTTTCATTTTTCACTGTTTAAAAATTAAACAAAAACAAACCAAAAACTCTTAATTTCCAAAGTTAATAGGAAGGCAATCTGATTAAAACATGTCAAGGAAGGAACGGCTAATTTGTTTAAGCAAAGCAAGTATCTAAAAGTAGAGTTATCGACCAGGCGTGGT